GGTTAATTTTCCCAAGGAGCCAGCAGGGGATACAGGTATTCCATGCCATGTGACCCATGCCCAGGTTGGCAGGGGGGAGCTAGCCGGGGGAGGGGGCAGGAAGTCGCGGCGGGGAGCGGGCGGCCTCGGTCCGGGTCCGGTCGGGAGCGGCGGCATTGTAATAGCGTTCGTATATTCCTTTACTGGTGTTATTGTTATTGCTTTCTCTTTTTTTTTGCTGTTTCTTTAAACTGCTTTTATCTCAACCCACAAGTTTCTGCCTTATTCCTTCTGATTCTGCCCACGGCTGTGGGAGTTGCGCGAGCGGCCGCGTGGTTCTTTGTTCCCGGCTGGGGTCAAACCACGACAGGTGGCTAGACTGGCATTTATATGAAGACTTCACTAAACAAAGGAATTTCATATGCAATTTTTCCCCAATATGAATCATACTTAAATGAATCAGATCTTGTCCAAGTGTTTTTGTCCACAGATCACAAATCCCACAAATCCCGCAGATGTTACAGATCTTTCAAATCTTTCCCCCTGGCTACTGTGACGTACTTCATTGTCTGTTGCAGCCAAAATGCACACCAATATGTGAGATTCTTTCAGAAAAAAATACAAACTGAACCTCTGTTCCCTTTGCCCTCAAAACATAGCATTGTATTTCCAACCCATTTACCTTCCTTCAGCAAAGTCATTACATCTGCTGATTACACCTGAACGAATTAGACTGGCTGAGAGTGCAGTTCTCGCCACCAGGGTGAAATCCAATTCCCAACAGAGGTGGGTAGGTTCAAGTTTCTGCTCAGAGATATGTCCATGTGTGCTGGGTATCTGGCTTTCCCGTTTCAATAAATGGAAGCCCACTGTGACCTTCAGTTGCCTCTATCTACCACTTAAGAGTGAGGTTTCCTACAGAGCCTGAAACATAGTCCAGGAAATGGAGTCCAAAGCTGCACCAAGCTTCAGGTAAAGCACACTCCCACGTTTGGTGAGTTTAGATACCTATTTGCCATGTCAGTACTTCATGTAGTCTCTTTGGCCCATGCATCTTACACAGTAGGATGCATCTCCACCTATTCTGATCTAGTAAACAGTCAGCTAAGCATCATCCTAAGATCCAGATTTATATACACATCTTAGTTGGAGACAGAGTAAAAACCCAAAACTACAGCCTGCAGGAGCAGAATGTGTGTGTGAGAGACCGTAACTTCTCCATAGCATAAAATATAGACAAGAAACATCAGGCTCCCAAACATGTTATGTTTGGAGCGCAATCCAATTTAATGCACTTCCTTTCACCCTTAAAGAAGAAAGAGGGGTTTCCAGCACATCATCAACCTCACCCACAGCTAAGACAAAGTGATAGATGAACTAAAACTAAACAGCATTTGACAAAGAAGTTAGTTCAGTCTGAAATAAGATGGAAAGTAAGGAGTATGTATTCTATAGCCAGACCTAATCCACTAGGTCTAGAAGTTGCTTGGATTTTTTCAGTACTATTGCAACACATTGCCATTCCACAATGCCTTGCAAAATCAACTGAATCATCCATGAGTTTTTCTGACTCCCAAAAATGAAACAACCCCAAACTTACTACTCATAGCTCATTATCTTGTACAGAAATAACTCCTGCAACTTTGTTTACATCCAGCAAAAGCAGGAATGTAAATTTTCCCTCTTAGGACTGAGTGAAAACAAAACAATGGCTTTGGGACTTTTAGCAACCAGATGGGCCAAGCAGAAGGAATAAAGGTCAGTAATGAATGGGCTGCACAGTCTCATTTTTGTCTTTCACTCTGAGAGTTCCTGTCATTACAAGATGGTTTTGATGACTTGCACTTTCTCATAGCTTTTTTTCTGTTTTTCTTTGAAAACAAGACTGGGAAAGAATGAATGATCTGAGTTCTTCAGGATCTCTGCCCAGTAAGATCTCCTGTGCTCCTTCCCGAGACTTATGGTCTGTATATTGTGAGCTTTTCAGACATACCCTGCTCCATCTCCTTTCTTCGGTCTCCTCATCAGTAAAGCAGCAATGAATCTAGATGCCAGTCTCGCTCCAAGACTTGGTGTTCTGCAGGGGCACACAATGTAAGGCAACTCCTGATTTCTTACTTTTTTTGAGTCAGTTTCCATCAGGCAATGCCTGTTTCAATGTAGAGTTTGGTACAACCCAATAGAAAGTTATCGGAGTTGACATGAGCAAAAGAAGTTACAAACTACCTAAGCAAAAATCACTCTATTCAGACTAGGGTCAGTTCAAGAACCCTTAATTGCATGGACAATTTTTTTCTTGTCAAGAATGAGAACAAAATAACTCATCCACAAAGAACCAGTACAAACTATCAGCTAGTTAGAATAAAGCCTTTGACTTTCTACACCATTGGGCCAGCCTGGTTGTCTGCCTGGTCTTTCTGTCCAAGTGACAAAAAGGGGAAGGGCAGAGAAAGCTTGGAACATAGGGATCCAAGCCACAACACCTGTTTTGGAAGCAAAAGCCTTCTTCATATCAATACAGTAAGACAATAGCCAGGAAAGATTTTGTTGCCTGTGTCCACATTAACCTGCTGTTCTTTGAAAGTACTTCTACCTCTGCTCTTCATATACATAGGAGCAGAAGAAAACAATGCTTTTAGGAATGTTTTGGAAACAAAAGAGTACAGCTCCATGCTTGCTGTAGAAAGCTGTTTTCCCACAAATGTTTGCACATTTCTTCAGTGATAAGAACAAAGATGCCTCTACTATATGCCTCCTACTCCTTCAACTGAGAGATAAAGGTGCAGGGTCTTTTCTTTCTGCAGTTTTATTAGCCACCAGATTACTATTTTCCAGCAAAAAATTAAATGCCACACCAATCCTTTCAGCTGAAAAAAGCCCTGTTTTCCTCCTGCTAAAGTTTAAATAAAAATGTAACAGCCGTTCAGGAGGGTATCGCATGATATTCCGAAGTAGTACTTACATGAATGAAATATTGTGTTTGTACATTATTACTGAATAGCTCCAATGAACCATCACAATTTATTAATTAACTATAACTAATACACCTACTGAAATGCATTAGTAATTCCTCTTTCATAATCAAAGAACTGATGACAAGGTCACTTGAGGAGCACACCTGAGAAATCATAATATCTCTGAAAATGCTGTTTTCTGGTCTTTTTGGTACAGCGGGGATCTCTGATAAGGATCATTAAGATTGTATCAAATGAAGAAATTCTTAATGAAACTCAAAGCTCAAAGTAAACATGGAATTCTTTCTCTGTTTATTTTTCCAGATCCACTCAGCACAAGTGTCTTACACAGGTGAGAAGGATAATGTTTATAGGCATTTCTACTCCCTGGGCCAATCTATGTTTTTAGGTTTATTTCCAGGTCAGTGAGATGCCTATCTGTTTCGGTGTTAAGTTTTCTGAGATATCACAGAAGAATAATAATGGAAGGATTCCAGTGAGGTCCATCTGAACACATCAAAGTGGTGAGCAATGGATCATGGGTACTCTGCAAGCTATGGGAAGCAAAAGCCTTCTTCATATCAATACAGTAAGACGATAGCCAGGAAAGATTTTGTTGCCTGTGTCCACATTAACCTGCTGTTCTTTGAAAGTACTTCTACCTCTGCTCTTCATATACATAGGAGCAGAAGAAAACAATGCTTTTAGGAATGTTTTGGAAACAAAAGAGTACAGCTCCATGCTTGCTGTAGAAAGCTGTTTTCGAATGGGAATGAGGAAGGAGTAGAAAAGGAGCACTCAAAGCTTCAGTTTACTTTGTTCATAAGTGAACATTATTGAGAAAAAACTGCATAGGAAAGCATGGATTTGTTTTTGTATTTTGTTCCTATTCCCCACACACAAAGTGGTAAGATTACCTTCCAAATAAATAAAATCACAGAATGGTTTAGGTTGTAATGGACCTTAAAGATCATCTACTTCCAACCCCCTGCCATTACCAGGAACACCTCCCACAAGACCAAGTTGCTCAAAGCCCCATTCAGCCTGGCCTTGAACACTTCCAGGGATGAGCCCTCCACAACTTCTCTAGGCACCTTGTTCCAGGGTCTTACCACCCTCACAGTAAAGAATTTCTTCCTAAAAGGTAATCTAAATCTAACCTCTTCCAGTTTAAAAACATTACCCGTCGTCCTATCACTGCATGCCTTAGTAAAAAGTCCTTCCCCAGGTCTCCGGTAGGCCCCTTTTACGTACTGGAAGGCTGCTATAAGGTCTCCCTGGAGCCTTCTCTTCTGCAGGCTGAACAGGAGCCCCTCCTCAGGGCTGCTCTCAATCCATTCTCCTCCCAAACTGTATTTGTGCATGGGATTGCTGTGATCCAGATGCAGGACCTTGCACTTGGCCTTGTTGAACTTCATGAGGTTTGCACAGGCCCACCTCTCAAGCCTGTCTGGGTCCATCTGGATGGCATCCCTTCCCTCCAGTGTGTCGACTGCTCCACACAGCTTATTCTTGGCAGCAAACTTGCTGAGGGTGCACTGAATCCCACCGTCCATGTCGCCGACAAAGATGTTAAACAGCACTGGTCCCAGTACCGACCCCTGAGGAATGCCACCATCACTGGTTGTCACTTGGATATCAAGTCGTTGACCACAACTCTTTGAGTGCGACCATCCAGCCAGTTCCTTATCCACCGTGTGGTCCATCCATCAAATCGATGTCTCTCCAATTTAGAGACAAGGGTGTTGTGCGGGACAGTGTCAAATGCTTTGCACAAGTCCAGATAGATGACATCTGTTGCTCTCCCCTTATCCACCAAACCCGTAAACCTGTCATAGACGGCCACCGAATTTGTCAGGCATGATTTGCCCTTAGTGAAGCCATATTTGCTGTCACAAATCACCTTCTTATTGTCCATGTGCCTTAGCAGGGTTTCCAGGAGGATCTGCTCCATGATCTTGCTGGGCACAGAGGTGAGACTGACTGGCCTGTAGTTCCCCAGGTCTCCTTTTTTACTCTTTTTAAAATTGTGCCTTATGTTTCCCCTTTTCCAGTCAGTGGGAACTTCAACAGACTGCCACATCTCAAATACGATGGATAGTGGCTTGGCAATGCCAGTTCCTTCAGGTCCCACAGATGAATCTCATCAGGTCCTATGGACTTGTGTACCTTCAGTTTCCTCAGATGGTCTTGAACTTGGTTTTCTACAGTAGGCAGTACCTCATTCTTCCAGTCCCTGCCTTTGCATTCTGCACCTTGGGTGGTGTGGTTAGAGCCCTTCCCAGTGGCGACTGAGGCAAAGATGTCATTGAGTATCTCAGCCTTCTCCATGTCCTGGGTGACCAGGTCTCCCATCTCCTTCCTGAGTGGGCCTACATTTTTCCTAGTCTTCTTTTTGTCACTTATATACCTACAGAAGGCTTTCTTGTTGACCTTGACGCCCCTGGCCAGACTTACTTCTATCTGGTCTTTAGCTGTCCTAACCTGATCCCTGGCTGCTCAGACAATTTCTCTGTATATCTCCCAGGCTACCTCTCCTTGCTTCCACTCTCTATAGGCTTCCTTTTTCTGGTTGCGATTGTCCAGGAGCTCTTTGTTCACCCACGCAGGCCTCCTGGCATTTTTGCCTGACTTCCTCTTTGTCAGTATGCATAACTCCTGATCTTGGAGGAGGTGGTTCTTGAATGTCAGCCAGCTTTCTTGGGCGCCTCTTCCCCCCAGGGCTTCATCCCACTGTACCCCAGCAAGTAGATCCCTGAAGAGGCTAAAGTCTGCTCTCCTGAAGTCCAGGGTAGCAAGCCTACTGTGCACCCTACTCACCACCCTAAGGATCTCAAATTCCACTGTCTCATGGTCACTGCAGCAAAGGCTAGCCTTGAGAGTGACATTCCCCACCAGCCCCTCCCCATTGGTGAGAACAAGGTCCAGCATGGCATCTCTCCTTGCTGGTTCCTCTGTCACTTGGAAGTTATTGTCGATGCATTCAATGAACCGCCTGGATTGCCTATGCCCGCTGTGTTGTCCTTCCAATAGATATTGGTGTAGTTGAAGTCCTACATGAGGACCAGGGCTTGTGAATATGAGGCTGCTCCTATCTGTCTATAGAGGGCCTCATCCACTTGGTCCTCCTGCTCAGGTGGCCTGTAGCTGACCCCCACTGTAACATCATCTGTCTGTGCCCTCCCTTTAATCTTGACCCGTAAGCTCTCAGTCAGCTCCTCATCCATCCCCAGGCAGAGCTCCATGCACTCCAGATGGTCCTTGACATAAAGGGCGACACCTCCTCTTTGTCTCCCCTGCCTGTTCTTCCTGAAGAGCTTGTATCCATCCATTTCAATACTCCAATCATAAGAGCCATCCCACCATGACTCCGCAATGCTGATTAGATCATAGCCTTGCAGGTGTGCGCATGTCTCTAACTCCTCTTGTTTGTTACATATGCTACGTGTGTTTGCATAGAGGCATTTAAGTTGGGCCCCCAATTGATCTAGCTCCCTGGCTGGAATGGTTCTTTTGCCTTTATGCTGCACTCCAGGTGCTCTCCTGCTGACCTGCAACCCATCTCCAGGTTGTAGGCCTCTGCTACTGGTATCAGTATTGTATTGGTAGGAGTGGCATGGATTCTGGTTCTCCTCCCTGAGCAACTGTAGTTTAAAGCCCTCTTCACAAGCTTGGCAAGCCTCTGACCAAAGAGATTCTTCCCTTTTTCTGACAGTGGACCCCATCTGGCCCCAGTAGACCAGGCTTCTCAAACTGAGTCCTATGATCTAAGAAGCCAAACCCCCTGGATGTGGCACCAGTCCTGTAGCCAGATACGGATTTCCTAGATTCACCGGGCCCTGTCATCCCCACTCCCTTTGACCAGGAGGATTGATGAAAAAACTACTTGTGCTCCAGAGGCCCTGTCTGCTGCTCCCAGGGCTTTATAATCTTTCTTGATAGTCGCCAGGCTGCTTCCAGCTGCACCACTGGCACCCACATGGAACAGCAGCAGTGGATAATAGTCTGAGGACTGCACGAGGTTTGGTAGTGTCTCAGTTACATTCCTGACAGGAGCCCCCAGTAAGCAGCACAACTCCCTGCAGAGTGCATCAGGCTGGCAAATGGGTGCCTCTGTACCACTCAGAAGAGAGTCGCCTAGTACTATCACCCGCTGCCTTTTCTTAGTTGCACCGGTTGTTACACGAGGAGCAGATCAGGTAGTCTTACTCAGCTCCTGCTCCTCTCCTGATACAATAGGTTTTGCATCTTCACTCTGCAGGGTAGTGAAGTGGTTCTGCAAGGGCACCTCAGCTTTTGGGAGGTGCCCATGAGAATGCAAGACACCAGTCTGGTCTATCTCTTGCCCGAAGGATCGGCTTTATGCTATTCCTGCCAGCATTTTGTCTGACCTGCTATCAAGGACTATAGAGTTGAAGGCAAAACAGTGAATAAGGCTTTGGTCAACAGCTAGCTGGCTGCTGCAGTGCTCACTGCACTGCAATACACACTTGGTTTGCTTTCAGTCTTTTCATTTTTTCTCTATCTCCATTATCCAAGTTTTTTGGTTGGCTTGTTATTTTCTCAGCACCTGTAATAATTCCCATTCCTCAAACTAGCAGAATTCACCGACTCAGTCCTTTCTGTTCTCTGAGTTCTAATGCTGGAATCTAAAATATGCCCTACCATCAGCTAACCAGAAAAGACATGGTCTGAGGATAGCCAGGACCTAGAACAAAGGCTTCATTGAGACCTGTCCCGTATAACACGTACCAAGACAAACAGTTAGAGGTAATAGTGAGAAGTTATTCACAGAATCGGCACTGCAACAAGACACTACGAGATCATTTGGGTGATCAAGACATTAGGGTGACCATCAGCACAATACCTATTGTCCACTTTTCCTTCTTCCAGATCCTGGTATTTTTTACCACATCTTGGTGTGTGTTCATAGTGTAATGTCAAAAAACTGTCAGGCCTTGCCATTCCCTGTGCCTTCTTTAGAATGGGGTCCTGAACGAGCAGGCATTTGCTCTGAGTGTCCATGTTTAGACAGAGAAGCCTTAATTTTACTGTCCCTGGGACTCAGCTTTCTCTATCTCTGGTATTTTACTTCAGTCTTCCTTCCTTTCCGTCTGTACCCAGCCAGACAAACTGCGTTGCTCAGAGGTGTTCTTGTTGCAAACCAAACTTCTAAGTTGAGCAACCTCTGTGTAAAGGTACTTGAAATGTTTAAGGATGTTTGAAGGTATTTGGAACTCCAGCTATTCTGAGACAAATGCCTCTTCTCACCACAATAGTAATGTTTTATTTCCCTTACGCACCAAAAGGCAAACTTTAAGGGCTGACATTGAAAGGCCTTTTTCAAATTTGGTATGAATCCTTGTGGAGGCACTTAAAACTTTCCAGGAATGGTTTTTCCCACATTTTTCTGAGATAGCAGTAGGTTTTAACATGTGCAAGAACAACGTTTCAGTCTGTAGATGGGTATTGAAGCCCAAAACTGAATGATGTATATAGCTATGTTAACAGAACATAATGATTTTCCTACTTTACAAGCTTCTGGAAAGTTTCTTTTGGCAGACAAACGAAAGTATTCTTTTTTAGAGCAAGACCATTCCAGCCTCATAAGCCTAATTTCTTTGACTAAGATCTTAGTATCTCTGTTTTTTCCTCTGTGAAGTCTCTATTTGTGCACAGTGAGTTTCTCTCTAGCTGCGTAGAGCAGTACAGTACTTGCACACAAACGAGCATCCATGGTGCTTGTGTATTTGTGCAACAAATGGATGTTGTAAGTCCCTCTTCTATTTTCTGCTTCTAGCTTATAACTATCAATTCATGTATTTCAGTGAATTCTTCAGTTAGTGTATGATTTATCCCTTTGCACTGGTGCTAAGTCCTTTTTATACTACTTTAACTAGGACAATAAAGCTGCCTGTCCAACGTATGTGGAGAAATAATTTTCAGATTACACTCATCCGATCTGATCTCAGACCCACAGCGACACTATCCTGGACATATGGGGCTCTCTTCTTTTCTATTGAATCATAGAATGATTTAGGTTGGAAAAGACCTTTACGGTCATTGAGTCCAACCGTTAACCTAACACTGCCAAGTCCACAAATAAACCATGCCCCATAGCGCCATGTCTACACATCTTTTAAATACCTCTAGGCATGGTCACTCAACCACTTCCCTGGGCAGCCTCTTCCAATTCTTGATAACTCTTTCAGGGAAGAAATTTTTCCTAATATCCAATCTAAATCTCCCCTGGTCATTTCCTCTTGTCCTATCACTTGCTACTTGGGTGACAGAACCCCACCTCGCTACAACCTCCTTTCAGGTAATTGTACAGAGTGATAACGTCTCCCCTGAGCCTCCTTTTCTGCAGAATTCTGCAATTCCAGTTCCCTCAGCTGATCCTCAGAAGACTTGTGCTCTACACGCTTCACCAGCTTCTTTGCCCTTCTTTGGAAATGCTCCAGTACCTCAATGTCTTTCTTGTAGTAAGGGGCTCAAAACTGAACACAGATTTTGAGCTGTGGCCTCACCAGTACTGAGTACAGGGGGACAATCATTTCCCTAGTCCTGCTGGCCACACTATTCCTCATAGAACCCAGAATCCTACTAGTCGTCTTGACCACATGGGCACACTGCTGGCTCATATTTATCTTGCTGTGGACCAATGCCCCCAGGGCCCTTTCTGCCAGGCAGCTTTCCAGCCACTCTTCCCCAACTCTGTAGCATTGCATGGGATTGTTGTGACCCAAATGCAGGACCTCTCACTTAGCTGTTTGTTATTGGGGTTTTTTTTTGTTTTTTTTTTTTTTTTAATTGCCTATCACAATTTCTATTTCATGACAAACTAGAAACATCTACTGGGCTAATATGTATCTGTTATTCATAATGACCCAATAAGGTTTTTTCCAGGTTGAAGCA